CTCATCTTATTTGTCTAACAAATGATTTTAGAATAATATTTTTTACTTATGTAATAAACACAAGCAAATAAATTAAAAACTCAGTTACTATTAATTTTTTTTTTAAAAAAAACAATTTTCTTTATACCAAACACTCCTTAATATTGGATTTCTTATCGTCTTAGGTACTGGTCAAATCAACCCTTAATAAGATGAGGTAAGATGGTTGAATTGGGTATGGAATTTTTTAAATATTTCAATACCATATCCAACCTAAAGTCACGCAAATATGTTTAATTTGGTCAAAACTATAAAGTAGAAGTAAAAGCAACAAATTCAGCACACGCAATTTGGATGAAAAAGAAGAAGCTAAATATAGACAAATGACACCACCTCACTAATTGTCCTTACAAATTACAAGCTCCTACACCTTTTTAAATAACTATAGTATTTGATTCAATTCAGCATATTATTTCATCAGATATTTATTATCTAGTCGATAGTAATACAAGCATCCGATTATTTTTTCAATCAAAACTATGAAAATAATATAATTACCCAACATCTTTTGTCTCTATATGTTGAATTGTTTGACCATGCTAGTTTATTTGTTCCTACCTACCTTGTTCAACATTGTATACTAGTTGTACTATTTTACTTCCCATAAACCCAATAGTGTTTAAATTTGGGACTTAAATTTTTCTTAAGAAAGTTCTTTTCAAATATGCATGCATCTTGTTTTCCTCTTTTCTCAACTTCCCAAGTGGAAAAAGTCGCATAAAAGAAGCTGGGGTTGTGTGATTAATGTCTCCTTTTTGGCTTCAACTATGGCAGCTTTCCCTAAAATTAGACTAAAAAATTTACAAAAAAAAGCCTAGATTCATGTGCAAACTTCCAAGAGTAATTAATACACACAACCTAACAGTTGGCATCAATCTTTTCTTGATTCTTCAGATTTTAACAATTAATTATTGACTTAAACAATTCTGCATAATGACATTCCATGCATGATTAAATAATCACTACAACCTGATTTTTATGGCAAACAATAACATTAACTGCATATATACTCGATAAGAGAAGTATTCAAAATACATACCTTATGTACAGCCTAATTTACAAACTTCCCATTCAAAATTATGTGATATTCACCAAAAAAAAAGGAACTTTATTAATGTTGATTTATCAAGAGATTACCTATAAACCACAAAAAAAATTGGTACCACATGACATTTATTTTTTTGTGGTCCTTAAGTATAAGGCATTTTAATAGATTTCAGATTCTTTCTCATTCTTTACCTACTTTCTTTCAAGTTTTTTTGCTTTAATTAATGGTATTATCTAACCAACTGCTACTGAGCATAACTATGTACACAAGAATTAAGCTCCGATTTTATAAATGTATGTTCAAATATTTGTTCGGACATAAAATTTGAGCCAGTTTTGGGACTTTCACGCACGAAACTTTTAAATTGTAAAAATCAAACACCGGAACTCGAATTTTCAAGTTCCAATTTTCGAAAAATCTACCTATAGAGTCCTCATATTATTATACTAACACATCTATTCATCTGATTTAAACGTCTGAATTCAACACTGAAATTTAAAAATAACAAGAGAACTGATGAAGTTGTTAATCATATACTAAAAAAATATGTATACATACGCTAAAAGTAACTAAAGAAATAAGTTCAAGATTTGGGCATGTTCATAGTAGAGTTAATAAAAACACAACCCAATTACATAATTAAATCCTAAATTAAAATAACTTAATTAACAAAAGTTGATAATCCTACCAGAAACAAGAAGATGACCATCCAGTAGTACTAGTATTATAGTAGCTTGAATTTTGAATTCGACGAAAAAACCTTCGTCGTCGATACCCAAATATACCATATTTGAGCCTCAACCAAACCAATTTCTTGATTTTTCTTGCTGATCTAAGCTTTACCCATATCACCCTTTTGACTCTAAAGAAAGATTTCTTAATCCTTTCACTTACACTCTTCTTCCTGCTGAATTGATAGCTTCTCAAGAAAAGCTGTCTTTTTTCTATATCTGTGTACCCTGTTTCTGTTCTGAACATGTTCACTGCCCCATAAGACATGTGTTTTACAGCCATATTATGATCCATACATATAGATATATATATATAGGTTGAGAGAGAAAGAGAAATTGTGTAGTGGGGAGGAAGAAATAAGGGTAATGGTGATATATAATGGTCGTGAATTAAGGGAAGAGAGGGGTTGGTTACAGTCTGAATGCTCTGTTTTTTTTTAATTTTAGGTCATGCTCTGTTCTGCAATCTATTAATGTTTGCTTTTAAGGACCATAACGCCGTCGTAATGATGTGCTTCATTTTATAGCAACTCCACATTTTTTTCTTCTTTTTTACTTTTTCCATGCTTGTTTGACCTTTTTTTTTTAAAAAAAAAAAATCTTTTATACCTTTATTTTTTTTTAAAAAAAAGTTATTGGTGAAAAATAGAATTTCTAATCTTGTCCTAATTTTTATTTCAGGCATGTATTAATTGATCTATTTTAGATGTTTTTTTTTACCTAAAATAAATTTTAATTTACTTTGAAATATTTGTAAAATATAGAAAGTGTTTTAACTATTTGTTTTTAAGCTAATTTAACAAAAATATATGAAAACTTATAAGTTAAATTTTTACTTTTCTTGGTTTAAATAAGTTAAATTTTTCGTGTTATATAACTTGTAGCTTAAAAGCTATAAATTCTAAGCTCAATCAAACGAATCATGGTCTAATTCAAACAAATATTTTTTTACTTTTTAATTCTAATTTATTACATGCCACCATAAATAAAACAAACGTTTTTGATATATTCAATATATATTCAGTTTTATAATCATTAGATTTATAAATCTTATCCAATTTCATCAGACAAACGAATTAAAACATAAAAAATAATTTTATTCATTAAAATTTAGATAGGCAAAACATCTCTCGATATTTCTCCACTAAAATTTGAACAGTAATTTTATTAAATCAACCTTTAAACTATTGAGTGCTTAAGCAAAATCTATCACTTATAGCCATAATAAAAAAGAAGAGAGAAAATGCGAATATGGAATAGTTGATTACTCTTGATAAGGGGGATAGCTAAATTTACCACTCTTTGTATTAAGTCACTTCAATTTTTATTTTTTTTGCATATATTTTTTTATATTTTAAATTCATTTTAAATCGTTATTCTTAATATGTGTGGTCTTTTGAGAAAATTATGCTTATCACATTAAAAAAATGTATTCAAATTTTAGCTATCAGAATCAACACTTTGTGTGCTCTATTACGAGAAAATTGTATCAAATTAATATCCTTTTTAACTTTTTGCATACTGTTTTTAAGGAGGTCACGTGCCAATTGAGGGTATTGTGGGAAATTAATAGAAGTTTGAGAGAGAAAATCACGTGACCTTTTTTTTTATTTTATTTTTTATGTTTTTACATGTTAGGCAAATTTAAACAGTGAGAATCTGTTTTTTTTTTCTATTGGAGACGTGGCATAACTCACCCACGAGTCACGTCAGTTACTTTTGACTTACTTTATTTTGTATTTTTTGGAAAATAAATATTACTATATAAATTTTTTTGAGAATATATTTTCCTTTGTTTTGATTTATTGCAAGAGTAATGAAAGCATGATATAGGATATTCTCCCATTTAATTTTCATCATTTAATTCAAGCATGCATTTTGAGAATGGCACACGATATTTTTTATACTATTTATATTTTGTTACGTAAAGTCTTTCTAATTAAGTCGCTATTTTATTTTATTTATTTACCTGATATAATATTTGTTGTTTCACTTTTCAAAATAAATTCATGATTTAAAAAATACAATAGTTATTTAAAAATTCACTTATATTGAATATATGTTTTAATCGTACGAAATATTTTACCAAGTCATAGAGGTTTAGGTAATCTAATTATTATTAGGATAGACTAATCTTAAGGAACAAAATGGATTCCTTAAACCTATTGAATTCATATGTTTCTTGCAAAATAAATAAGAACGAGAGTTTGGATAAAGATAAAATTCAGATTTTATTAATTAGAATAGGTGTAACCAATCCCTTACATTTGTGTATGTCTTTCACTACAAGCGTTTACAGCAAAACTATTTGTTACATCAAAATCACATAAGTTTGTTTGGTCATTTAAAATTCATAGAATAAACTACTGTTATCACTTTAATAACCAAATGGTCACAATAGCCTGAATGTGAGTCTTCAAATCTAAACATGAAGCAATTAAGCTAATTGTGATTAAAAACTAATAATATTATAATATCAGAATGTTGAGATCTCAATTAATTAAAAGGGAGCTAGTTTCCTTTAGGCGTGAATCATACGATTGTTTGCGATTAAAAAGTAGTAAAAAGAAGATATCTTGATTCGTGCATTGATTAATATGAATATTAATATTGCAAGAGACGACTAATTAATTGAACAATCACGAGTAGGGATAATCGTTATTAGAATATGATCATTTGAAGGTATATATATTATAATCTGTCAATCTTTTGTTTAACCAAAAAGCAACCTTATTTTCATGTCCAACTGCATAAAATACTTCCATAGGCTGTTCTCCTGCTACAGTGCTTCTATCTTAATTCCCCATTTTTCATCACTTAGATAAGACGTGCGTAGTGAGAGCCGTGTTTGGCACAAATATTATTAAAATACAACATGAAAGAGGTGGCTACACTTCTGCAACCAAGTATATGGCCATATTAGTTACGTCTCTCAAAACCAATAACGTACACCATAGACATTATTCTGATATAACATAACATGTGTTTGGTTCTGATATTACCTAACAACCATGATAACCAGCTTTTAAACAAAACAAACACTGCTTCTTAAATTTGGTGAGGTAAACATTTTAGTCGAATTGAATGGTTAGATCAATCACGATTCCACTTCTTTATTTTATTGAGAATTTATTGGAAGGGTGTGCCACTTTCAGAACAACAGTGCAATAGCACACCACAGATTAGTGCCCAAAAGTAATACAATCATTCAGATATTTGAATTAAAAGACAGATGAAAAATATGATGAGCTTGTGTTAAACACATCCAAGTGTAACACAACTGAGGTTTCTCTAATTACACTACATATGGAAATGGGAACACACAATCAAAAGTACAAGGTAGAAACTAGCTTTGCCTACATTTACAAACTAAAGTTACAACTGTGAGCTTCACAGCGACATACTCAGGTCACGTGTGATGCTGGCCATATTTAATTCCCAAACAAAATGAATCCACACATGGTTGAAAAATTCAATAGCATCACCTTGACCCAGGAATGGCTGCAGGTACCTTAGATGGATAAGTTGAAATATCTATACGTCAATCAGTGATAAGTCATAGGGTGCTGAAACATTAGTTGATGCATCCATAAGCAAAGAGTAGTTCTTGCCTCCGATTTCCCTGTTTGCTGGCCTGCAACAGGATTTTGAGGATTGTTGTTATTAGCAGATGGGGAGAGAGTAGATAATTGTACATCTTCCTGTTTGTTCCCAATTATGTGCTTGTTTTTCCTAACAGTATCCATCTCTGGGCCAGTTGGGACAAAAGTCCTTGCCCTGTACTTTTTGCACCCCCTTCTTCGGCATCATCATGATTATTAAGAACATAATCATGATAAGTAGGAGCAAATTGCACTCATGGAAGCAAAAAATGGAATTTGTTACAACACATGTGGAGTACACATACAGCACAAGTGAAAATGAGCAAGTCTCTGTCTTACCTGGTGAACCGTGTCATGGTAAAAGTTATTGAGCATAAGGACATGTCCAAGGCTAGCAGTAAAACCAACAGGAGGACCAATATTTGTGCCAGCATATTCCTTGTATGGGAATGCATAAAAATGAGCAAAAGCTGCAATAAGCATCTCAATACAAATTATAAAATTCCGAAATCAGTAGCTTCCTCGGTATCTTTGATAAGCTCCAACTTTGCAGCTAGAAACACCAGAACACCCTGGCAGAGGAAGTTAGAAAGAAAAATATAATACCCAGAAACATTAATCTACACAGTTATAATTATAATAGATGCAACAAAAGCCAATCAATTCTGTGATTTCAGTAAAACTTCTGAAAGGAGAAAAAACTGAAGTGGGTCAGTACCAAAAAGTAGTGTCATTGAGGGTGAAATGGAGATGGTAAGATCAAATAGTTTCCAAAAAGTGCAAATAATCAGTTTTTGGGTACATACTAAAAGAAAAGTGTGCCATGAAAAACAGGACAGCGGAAATAATATCATTATTTTTGTTAATATGGTAGTAAGTAACAACAGAATTAAGCTAATATGCCGGATTTGGTGAAACCAAAGAGTGTTCAGCAGTCAAAAACTGAATAATATTTTGCTTACTCAAAAGCAAAGTGAGAAAATAACATGTAACTGAGCAAATCTGGGGAGTTACCTGCCAATACGTAAGGAATACGACGGATTTTATAATGATGAACTTTGGAACTGGATTAAATGGACGGAGCAGATCTTTGCATGCCACGTAAAACAAAGCCAATGCATAAAGTGACATTGAGTAAGAGATAGTATATATAATTGTGAGGTAAAGGTATGACTGGCTTGGACTGAAATTTCTGTCCTCATATTTTCCTTCTACATATAGTATGATGGTTACGAGCACTAATATGGGCTTGACAATCACAAACTGCAAACACCCCTGCTTGCACCTTCGGATAAAGCGCCTGCATTGCTTTAACATTATCAGAAATACATTTCAAATAAATAAACAAGAGAATTAAAGTCCAGTCATGTAAATGAATCAACAACATCACAACATGGAGACCCACATAATTGAAATGTAAAACAAGGGGACGATAGTTTGGTCATAGTTATCAAGGGAAAGTCTAATTCAATTGAAATTTAAGGAGTGATCTCAAATTCAAGAGTAGAAATACAGTGCATTCAATTACAAAAACCAGAGAAACGAGTTTCCTACATAGACCGGTGAGTAATAAATTTTTTTTTAGAAATAGTTCACGCTGGTGAATTTTCAATGGAATAGCTCTTCATTGACTAAATAGAAGTGGCTTCATGCATAAGCATAACTTACCCATCCAAAGAAAGCGGAGGAAAGCAGCAGGTCATCAGACACCAATTTGGCTATAGAATTCAGCTAAGAGACCTTCTCCCTCAAAAGTTTCAATGAAATGGACACTTAGCAGGCATCCAGAGAAGTCTGGCTCACAAGGTCTGGATATTTAAGTCGATCTTCTGTTCGAGCAGATGACACCTCTTCCAAGTCATAATTATTTAACATATCAGCATCTTTCAACAAAATCTTGCGTTGTTTTGACAAATTTGAAGGCTTTCCCTTACATTCTTCAAGGTTTTAGGTTTAAGACTCATCAAGCTTCTTGATTTTTGTTGACTTCATATATCAGTAGCAGTCTACAAGTTGGGTAATTAACTTGACAGTTCAAATAGATCTTGGATGTATGAGTGCCATATCAGAAAATGGTGTGGATGAACAAAGCATAAAGTGAATGTCTTCTTCAGCTTAAAAAAGATAAAACATTGTGCAATCAATTCGATTTGGATTTTCAAATATCGTTCAGTATTTTTACAAAGGCTTTACAGTGAAACAGCCATAATAAAAGTCAAGCAACTGGGCCTGAGGATGCATATCCATATTTCAAAGTATAATGCACCGTAGGCTCAAAATTTGAGCATGCAGTCAAACTTAATAGTGACAACCAGTTGCATTCTACATACATAGGATTAAAAAAGTAGATTTTTTGACCCGTTGCACCTAAAGCACAAAGGTATCAGTGATGAGAGTGGAAACCTTGAAGACCGTGGATCAAATTTTAGCAGACAAAAAGATACAAGGTGATTTCTTCCGACCTGCCTAACCTTGCCAACGGAGTTACTTGGTACTTGTGAGAGGTAGCATATATTCAGTAGAATAGTTGAAAGTGTGTGTTTATGTAATTGAGTTTTTGACGTAAAACAATCTTGTTTAACTCACAGAACTTTTAACTATTACCCATCTCTGTGTGCTGCAAAGATTTAAAAAGTCAACACATAGAAACTCGGTCATAGAAAGAGGATCTCGTTAAGTTAAGAACAAATACATGTTTCTCCACATCATAGAGCCGATTCATGACTACAATTATCCCATCAGTATTCATGATAGCTACTTGTCACAAAAGTTCAGAAAACAGAGAGAAAAGGCAGGGGCACCATTCCATGGAGCAACAATGGGCAGTCATATTATAATAGCATCAAGAAGAAAAATATGCATTAAGCCAAGAAATACAAACTTGAACAGTACTTACATTTCATGAATGGAATTGAAATGGATGGCTCTCTCATTTAGGATGAGAGACGAGAAAAACTGTCAGAGGAGAAAAGTAGAATTTTAAACATTAACGTGGAACTCAACGAAAAGTATAGCACAATGAAATATGCAACTCACAGTCAAGCTAGTTCAAAAACTATATTTGTTAAGGTCATATAGGAAAAACATTGCACTCTCATAATATTGAAAAGTCAAACACCATAATATTCAGATTATATGTCTGACTTTAAGATCCATAAAGATTCATAGCTTTAATATTCATCACCTGTTGGGGTACATTCAATGCATGTGGCATCGATAGTTTACCTTTAGTTTGTACTATCTGAAACAACAATTATAAAAAAGCATACTCTAGGTACTGGGACTTTATTTAAATAAAGAGTCATCATTCCCATTTCAAAAATAAGATAGCCACCATTTCGAAAACACTCTTGGTGCTGTGGTTTTATTTATTAGTCGACGGACACTGATGATAGTACAACTGCACATTAAGCAACACAATCAGAAACTGAACTACATTTAGGAACACTCACAAAATTATTCCCTCCCTTAGTGGACAAAGATCTATGAAACTTATTTGATATCCTACCATGCACATATTTCCTTCTAGAACAACAGCATAACCAATCTGATCTCACAAGTGGAGTCTGGGAAGAATAGGTTGACCTCTAACTTTGTGGGGTAGAGAGGCGCTATTTCTGATATGCCCCCAGCTCAAAATATATTTCCTTCTACTACAATTTAACAAATACCACAAAGTTTCCACATCTTCAACACTAGTTGTTCGGCTTTTCCAGATTTAACTCACCTACTATACTATTTAGTCTTTATCAGAACCTATGGACGATCCACATCCAGCGGGATGACTACTCTTTTAAGTTTCATCTAATATTAATGACAGTATGAAATGACCTACATAATTTTAAATATAATGGGGTTCATTGGTCAACTTTATACCGACACAGAGCTAAATTAGGTAACTACGAGCAGTTTGATAGCCTTAAATAAAAAGCTTTTTGAAGGAAAAAGACTGTGCAAAATAACCTTGTCTAAATACTTCTAGTTTCTTGAAAATATGAGAGTATTTTGTTAGTAGAAGAACTTTTCATTGAAAAACACATTCAAAACAACAACATACCCAGATAATCCCACATTCAAACCACTTCAAAAAAAAATTTGAAAATGTCTTTTGAGCATACGCTTACCTTCTACACATTCTTATTTCTGGTATCCTCTCCTAGCAATGCCTTCGGCCAAAGCTAAAGTACCATCACTTATGTTATCCATCAATTTTATGACACTGAGTATCGGATTGCCTAAAGTTCTAATTATACCAAGCACAATAAAGTTGTTGCTTTAAACAACAAAGCATGGTGTTAAATAAGGTTGTAAGCAAAGGCCAGTTTAGTGACCGACCATTCATCAAATTTATACACTGATACCAAAACACAGAGAGGAAGACATGTACAAAGTGTTCTGACAGATTCTTCTACAACATCACCATCCTTAGAATGTAAGTTACAGAATGAAAATGTAAATTCTAAATCTTTTTTGAGGAAACAATGGTCCCGTGAAGTGTGAAAAGAAAAATAGCTCTTTTCACTCCAAGGTCCCAACACGAGTTGTTCAGAATTCTGTCTTATATAAGTCATAGTAACACAACGAACCTTAGGTACACTAGTTATCATATTAAGTTACAGCTATAACACAACGAACTTTGATAGCATGGGGCTTCTATGATCCATCTGTTTCACCATAAGGCCATATTGCTCTAATGTTTGGCTTCACCATGATCCACCATGGTGTTTTATGAAGTTCAAAAATGTTCGATCATTGACATCTAGTCAAGAACCCAAAAGAAGATATAACATGACAGAAAACTGGCAAAATTTCTCAAAGTAAAGCTTTACATCAAAAGTAATTACATGATTCATAGATATGCAATATTTCCACCTACATATACAATGTGAACTGTGGCCGGTACTTCTTTACAAATTATGGCTCTAAGAACTAAATGCTGAACACTATTGAAGTAGAATTACAAGATTATGGTTGCTACAAGAGGTGATCACCGCAAAATCTGATTCATTTGCATAAAGAATAGTTTCATTGAAACAAGTTCTATACCTCGTGCTCGAGTTGCCATCCACCACTAGCAATTGGATGGACAGTTTCTCTGGCTTCGCCTCGATCTTTTTCAAATATAAATCCAACACGTCCCACTTTCTGAAAATTTCTATTCCACATAGGAAAATTCTCCCAAAGTCAAAATCAATTACCCAGAAACGTAACTTTCCTTCGGATTGCTATTCCAAATTTCTAATAGCTATGCTCTCAATCTGATAGAAATGATTTTCAACTCTCCAAATAGAGAATCATACACCAGACACAATAACAAACTAAAAGTACCGAATTATTTCACCCCCTTGAGCCTCGGAGTTCAAATACAGTGTTTTGACTGCTCAATGACTCAATACAAACCAAGAACTACTAGGCCATGATTAATTATTCTCACTCGATTGCACAAAATATTGGCATTTCAAAGCCACTGAGTTCTACACTCACCCAGAATGCAGCACAAGGAATCAAATCGTATTATCATCCAAAAATTCTCCTTTTCATTTAATCACAATTCATTTATCTTTATCATCTTGATTATAGCGGGGCTTAGATTCTACATCTAAATGGGGATTGCATTCATTAGAATAAAAATCATTCTTCTCAATCAAAACCCTTAGCATCTCATAAGTAAAATTGGGGCTATTAGGATCGCTCGTTTGCGACTCACCACCTGAATCCGAAGTAAGCGGCCTCTTCAAGCACAAGTAACACCCTCTTCCTCCGCCACTTCCTTCCCTTCTTCCCTCCGAATTTCCAGAAACCCCTTTTCTTTTCCTCCTCAACAACGTACTTTTAACCTTTCTAAACCGAAAACAAGTCACCCTTTTCCCCTTATTCTTTCTCCAATCCTTATTGTTATCACCTTCTCCTTCTGAATCATCCGTCTCTTTACACCGACTACCACCAACGGCATCATCTTCGCCGCCGCTTCCCCCACCGCCCTCGCCATCAACAGAACTGGGTTGATTGTTGGTGGAAACAGACATAAAAATATAAAAGTTAAATCAAAGAAATTATAGAAAAAAATAGGACCACAAACATGAATGTGGGGGACCTGGAATATGACGAAAGTAACTGTGAGTGCAGTTGTGCAGATAGTGGATGACGAAGAGTGTCTATTAGGTGAAAGAGAAACAAAAGCCGTGAGAATTTGAATTGAATTGAAAGAAACAAGAATCAGGCAGAGAGAGAGAGAGAGAGAAAAGGGAGTTGCAGGATATGGCAATTGACGCCAAAATTGTCGGGTTTGCTCACGGGTAACCCTTTAACTACTTGACAACTGGACCACATTCATTACGTGTTTAACAATTTTTATTGACGGACAGTAGTTCTTGATACTTAATAGGCTCATAAATCGTCTAGTTTACAAAATCATACAATAATTTAAAAATTTATAAATCATATAAAAATAATTTTATTGTTCGTTCCAAGATTTCTGTCCTCTTGATAGGCTTATTACAGAAGAAGTTTAATCATGATAGATATTGCTCACACATAAAGTTTGTTTTTTTTTATAAATTTTCTCTTTTTCCTTTTTAGGGATTTTGAAAACTAAAATTAAATTTATATGGTTCACTAGAAATAGAGTTGTATAACAAAATCATTTTGGTATTGGAAAGTGAATTAAATAAAAATTATAATAATCATAATATAAAATAAGATATTTATTTTTTCAGAAGATGAATAAGAATTAAGAGGGTGGTTAATATGACAGAGAATGTTTTTCTTCATATCAAATAAATAATTTATTTCTAGTAGAATTAAATGATTCAGAATACAAGATAATTATTTGATTAAAAAATAGTATATAAATTAGTGTAAGGTGAATGATAATAATACTAAGTATACTCATGAGCAGAAGTACAAGGAACTAACTTTATTGATAGTTGTACCATTTTCTTTTAAAATATATATATATATATATATATATATACATAAAATTAAGAGTGATCGATTCTATTTTTTATATGGAAAGATTTTTATTTATTCACAAAAATTAGTGAACGAATATTTTTAAATGAGTCCTTGTGTTAAGAAATGCAGCTTAAAGGGACCAAAATCATTGAGGATAATAAATTTTAGATAAATAAATATATAAAGTGTTATAAAATCAAGTTCATGGCAATATAAAGATAAAGAGATATACATATACTAATACAAGTAATTAATGAATATCCAATGGACAGTCCACTTAATTAGTTCAATGGATTTATAACATAATAAAGTTAATTTTTTCAAATGGGTCAAGTCATTTATGAAAAAAAGAAGTAGAATATAAAAAACTTATATATTTCATGTACTTGCTTATTTTTTTTCACTTTTTTATTTTGTTTAATAAATTGTCCCTAAACCTAAAGCAAATGTCACTTAATAATAATAATAATAACAACAACTTTTAACACATTGCTAAACTTAAATTTGCCAACAAATTATGTGAAAGATTGCGACTTATTATGATAAAATGTTTTTATTATATATTTTTATTTAAAATTTAAATTTCTTTTCTCGTGTCAATGTATAATTTGATTGGACTAGAAATTAACCAAACATTGATATATTTTCTTTTTGCTTACTTTTTTATGTTGTAAAAAAATGTCTAATGCTAATTCAGTCTCCTTTTTTCCCTAGTCGAGAAAACACGACTTGCTCTTAAACTTATCCATCACCTCACCTAATTAAGTAGACCAAACTTTTAGGCGCAACTTAAAGAAATTTGTAGGACATTAATTCTTTTATTTTGATCGAAAGAAAGTTAGAGTCGGCTATGCATATAATTATTAGTTGAAAACAATTGTCGAATATTTCATACAAACTTTGATTTGTTTTATTTAAATATTATTATAATATAATACAAAAATGGTAACGATCTAATTAATAATAGAGCAAAATTGGGTTGGTAGGTATGGGCCCATATGGGTTCGAAAGTAGGTGGACCCTTCCCAAGTTAGATGGGTCGGGTAATGATTGCTACCAACAAATCATGACAAAGTGGGCTTTTTAACTAGGCGAAACAGTCCATTACATTTCAGGGAAAATACTCTTGCGCAAATTATTGAGTAAATGCTCTTATCCTCTCATTTTTATTTTTACCGTTTGAGTTTCTCATTCCGTTCTTATCTCTATTCTTTAATTACAAAATAGAGGCCAGTATAATTTCCGGACTATTGAGAATATAGATTTTAAATAAACTTCACTCTCATTTTCTTGAAAATAAGATATGTTATGTGTTGCTACAATAGGTAAAAGTATAATATAGTGATAGTTTATAATAACTTTAGAGGTATAGTTTTCTAATTGAACTCTTCATTAAGACTCTTGTGATTAAAAGTAGGGTTCATGTCCTTATCAAAAGAAATTCTTTGGGGATGAGACAGGACAGGGAGTCAGTCCCCATTGACAAGACAATACAAAAGCAGGACACACATCTTCCATATTCTTCATTCTTTTCACTATTTCCCCATAAATCCTAGCAACCCTCTTTGGCTATATTAAAAAACAAGAAAATGACTTCCAATTCATTTTCTTGATAAGCCAACACCTTCTTGGCCTTATTACAATTACCCTCTCTTCAACAAGTCTCTCATATCTTCCTTGAAACCCCATCTTCAAAATTAGCTCTTAGTCTATACAGAAACTAACAGAGTATTTATAGGGAAAAAAAAAGAGAAGTAATGCGCGCTATTACATGGGAGAATCTTGATCTTTGTATAACTTCAAAAATATAGAAATTAACATAACAGAACACAGCTTTTTAGAACAGAGTAATGTATACTACTATGGTAATGGTGAGGCTACGTAGTTTATACTGCATAGTTTCACTCATAACTAATCCTTGTGCTACTAATACCTTTACAATTCTAACATGCTACCAAATAACCCTGAGTTATCTGTCCTGTTGATCAGTACTTTAGCTATTCTAACTTAGGTAATCAAAGGCCAGTTTGATGTAAGATTGAGTAGTCTTATCTCATGGATGTAAAATCTAACTAAATCTTTATTTTATTGAGAATTTATTGGAAGGGTCATAAGGCCAAAATGTAAGTGGCACTTTCAGAACCATAGTGCAATAGCACACCACATATTAGTGCCCAAAAGCAATAGTCATTCAGATAATTGAATTAAAAGACGGATAAAATATGACGAGCTTGTGTTAAACACATCCAAATGTAACATAGTTTTTTATGCGCTTGTGTTAAACACATCCAAATGTAACACAATTTTATTTGAAGTGCATCTAGTGTACTAAGTTTTCGCTTAGTGTGAGATTCAATAAAAATTCGGACCACAAGAGTCTATTGTAGCATCTCTCAACATAGAAATTCAAACAATACTACTTATTTAAAAAAATTACTAGAAGACATTTTGGTCAAAGGTTTGCATATGTCACAAATTGCCAAAAACTAAAAAATCAAATTTCCATAAGCGCACAGTTCTCTGCATGTCTTGTGATAAGCACGAAAAATACCAAGAACATTCCTACTTCAACAATCTACACAGCAAATAGCTATTAACCAAAAAAAAAATCATCTTTTATTTGTCATAGAAAACCTGCATTATGGTCCTATAAACTAACCCTCTTTTATTCTTCAACACCTCTCTCATCTTGCTCTCTTCAGGCACAGCTCCTTTGCTCTTCACTATCTCCAATAACTCTTTTCCTTCTTCCTCCATCCCTGCCTTCACCAACCCTTCAAAACTACCCAAACAAGTAGCTGCATTGGGCTTCATTCCCCTTTTCTCCACCATCTCCAACACATACTTTTTCGCCTCTTTCACAAACTTCTCTTCTCCACTCTCCGCCAACGACTTGATCAGCACACTATATGTATACGCATTGGGCAGCACTCCAGATGACAGCATCCGTAGGTAAACCTTGTGAGCTTCCTTGGGCTGCCCTGCGTTGGCGTATGCCTCGATTACCGCCGTATGAGCCACTACATCTGGCATTTGGCTCTTGTCCTTGATTTGAGAGAAAAGCTCCAAGGCCTCGTGGGTCAGTCCGTCCTTAGACAATCCGTCGAACATCTTCACTGCATTGTTGATCATCCCATCTGAACGTATCTTCTGAAACACTTCTTGCAAGTTTGTCGGGTCTTCGGGTTCCTCAATTACGGGTTTCTTGTTAAATGGGTCGTATGGTGGTGGTAATTTGGATTTATCTATTTCCTTAGTGGACAATTTTGTTATCTCTTTGGTGTCCGCCTCAGCATCAGAGTCTTCTGAATCAGATAGCGAGAAATTGACTAAAGTGTTGCGCTTCGGAGGAGCTGAAGTAGAGTTACTCGAAACGGGAGTTTCTGGGGTGGCGGTGGAAAATAGTCTACTTCTGAATGCGCTAGTTTTGGGGACTGATAAAAAGGACACTGTTTTGAGGGGGCTTAGGGTAGGGAGAGAGGAAGTGTAGTGGAAACGAAGGGCATAAGAGGAGAGGGATCGGCGGATTACGGAGAAAGACGGCGCTGGAGAGACTGTGAGCCACCGGGCAATGGTTATTCCGGCCATCGGCGATGTAGTAGAACGTCAAATCAGCGAAAAGACTAGAAGTTGCAATGGCTAAATTACTTGTTTCAATATTTAAAAGTATCTTGTATGTTTATTCATTTAGACATTTAACTAGACGTATCTTTTATTAGCCCAATATTCATTTATGTTTCATAGTCATCCTTACATTAGGCCAATATACATCAATTTAAAAACAAAACAGCACATTTATAATAAATTAAAAACTTCAATAAAATTTTGAGCAAAGTAAATAATTGATAGAAAAATTCTCCAATAAATTTAAATAATTGGACATCAATTTAACACCAAATTATTAAATTAACAGCAAAGATACAAACTCCAAACTTAAAGCCTTTACAAATTAAACATGAAAGAAAATGACGATAATAATGATGGAATGGTGGTTTCAATGGTGGTGCAACCAATTCTAATATGGATGACAATGGGGCCAAAAATATAACAACAATGGAGCTAAAAAAAGGTTAAGTATCAAGAGAAAATAAGAGGAAGAAAAAGGGGTGTGTAGCAGCGGTGATAGTGGTAAAATGTGGTGTGATGGAGGAAGGAGTGTCAAAGAAGACGCAGAAGAAATAATAGTTTTTTTTCAAAAAAAAAAAAGAGGCCCAATTTAATATCTTCATGCGCCTAAAGGGTGTGGGTTAAAAACAATGTGCCACATAAACAAAAAATGTTCAAATAGTTCATATTAGGAACCACAGTGCAACAACAGTACACCACAGATTAGTGCCCCAAAGCAATAGAGTCATTCAGATAATTGAATTAAAAGACGGATAAAATATGATGAGCTTTTGTTAAACACATCCAAATGTAACATAACTGAGGTTTTCTTTAATTACACTACATATGGAAATGGGAGCACACAATCAAAAGTACATGGTAGAAAACTAGCTTTGCCTACATTTACAAACTAAAGTTACAACTGTGAGCTTCACAGCGACATACTCAGTTTCACGTGTGACGCTGGCCATATCTAATTCCCAAACAAAATGAATCCACACATGGTTGAAAAATTCAATAGCATCACCTTGACCCAGGATTGGCTGCAGGTACCTTAGATGGATAAGTTGAAATATCTACATCAATCAGTGATAGGTCATAGGGTGCTGAAACATTAGTTGATGCATCCATAAGCAAAGAGTAGTTCATTGCCTCCGATTTCCCTGTTTGTTGGCCTGCAACAGGATTTTGTGGATTGTTGTTATTAGCAGATGGGGAGAGAGTAGATAATTGTACATCTTCCTGTTTGTTCCCAATTATGTGCTTGTTTTTCCTAACAGTATCCATCTCTGGGCCAGTTGGGACAAAAGTCCTTGCCCTGTACTTTGTTGCACCCCCTTCTTCGGCATCACCATGATTATAAAGAACATAATCATGATAAGTAGGAGCAAACTACACTCATGGAAGCAAATAGAATTTGTTAGGACACATCTGGAGTACACATACAGCACAAGTGAAAATGAGCAAGTGTCTGTCTTACCTGGTGAACCGTGTCATGGTAAAAGTCATTTAGCATAAGGGCATGTCCAAGGCTAGCAGTAAAACCACGAGGAGGACCAATATTTGCACCAGCATATTCCTTGTATGGGAATGCATAAAGATGAGCAAAAGCTGCAATAAGCATCTCAACGCAAATTATAAAATTCTGAAATTCAGCAGCTTCCTCGGTATCTTTAATAAGCTCCGACTTTGCAGCAAGAAACACCAGAACACCCTGGCAGAGGAAGTTAAAAAGAATGATTATAATACCTACAAACATCATTCTACACAGTAAATTGTAATAGATGAAACAAAAGCCAGTCAATTTCTTTGACTTCAGTAAAATTTCTGAAAGGAGAAAAAACTGAAGAGGATCAGTCGCAAAAAGTGGTATCGTTAAGGGTGAAATGGAGATGGTAAGATTTAATAGTTTCCAGAAAGTGCAAAGAATCAGTTTTCAGGCACATACTAAAAGAAAAGTGTGCCACAGAAAACGGGACAGTGGAAATAATATCATTATTATTGTTGTTATGGTACCAGGTAACAACAGAATTACGCTAGATGCCGGATTTGGTGAAACCAAAGAGTGTTCAGCAGTCAAAAACTGAATAACATTTTGTTTACTCAAAAAGGAAAGTGAGAAAATAGCATGTAACTAAGCAAATCTGGGGAGTTACCTGCCAGTACGTAAGGAATACGACGGATTTTATAATGATGAACTTTGGAACTGGATTAAATGGACGGAGCAGATCTTTGCATGCCACGTAAAACAAAGCCAATGCATAAAGTGCCATCGAGTAAGAGATAGTATATATAATTGTGAGGTACAGGTATGACTGGCTTGGACTGAAATTTCCGTCCTCATATTTTCCTTTTACATATAGTATGATTGTAACGAGCACTAATATGGGCTTGAGAATCACAAACTGCAAACACCCCTGCTTGCACCTTCGGATAAAGCGCCTGCATTGCTTTAACATTATCAGAAATACATTTCAAATAAATAAACAAGAGAATTAAAGTCCAGTCATTTAAATGAATGAACAACATCACAACATGGAGACCTACATAATAGAAATGTAGAACAAGGGGACGATAGTTTGGTCATAGTTATCAAGGGAATCACTAATTCAATTGAAATTTAAGGAGTCATCTCAAATTCAAGTGTAGAAATGCAATGCATTCAATCACAAAAACCAGAAAAAACGAGTCTACTACATATTCCTGTGAGTAATATAATTTTTTTTTTAGAAATAGTTCATGCTGGAGAATTTTCAAAGGAATAGCTCTTCATTGACTAAATAGAAGTGGCTTCATGCATAAGCACAACTTACCCATCCAAAGGAAGCGGAGGTAAGCAGCAGGTCATCAGACACCAATTTGGCTTTAGAATTCGGCCACTCAAACTTAGAACAACAGCCCCTGGGCCACCAACCCATGCCAGGCAGAGTGATAGAAAATTATATATGACCCACGCCTCATATCTGAAAGGAGATTAGAACTAAATAATCACAATCAACAAAACAATTTCACCATAAGAAGTTTCGAGACATAAGTTCGAATATAACATGCATACGCATATAAATCATTTACCAACTACTCCTTTCCACCTAATATATGTTACGTAATTTACAAGCACAGAGAACAAAAAAGACTTAATTTTTTCCTACGTACATATGCAGTTAAGACATATTATTAAGAATGGAGCCAGGATTAATAAAGGAATGAGGTAAGGTAAAATCACATGGAATATCATGGATCAAACAACCTATAATCTCTCAGAGTCCATGCAGATTGCAAAAAAATAGAATGAAAGAAAAGCAAAAGGTTCATATAGGCAATAACTAGTTGGAAGGAGAGATAGATATGTTGGTACATTTATATGAAGTCAATTTTTTGCCAAGAATCCTTTTTGATTGTTTAGAGATTTGTAAATCAATGTAGAGATAAGATTGGGCTGTAAGGAACCTTCAATGAGAATCCGGATGTTTTAGAGAAGTAACTGAAAAAAAAACTTGGAATACGTTGAACGCTGATGTTGATAACTGTAGTCATGTAAAGAGGTGAATTAGACAATAGAATTTTCACTACTCTTGGGTAGATGGGCTAGTTGGATAAATGAACAAGATAGCGAGAGTAGCTTTCAGAAGTCCCTGGAGAGAGTCCTGTTGGATAATAATGAGCGGTAAAGACGCCTATGGCCATAAAGGCTCAGGTTAGTTGGAAAAGGTTCTGTGAGAGTATTTAAGTATATTTTTAACATTTTCAACTAAGAGACCTCCTCCCTCAAATGTTCCAATGAAATGGATACTTAGCAGGCATCCATAGAAGTCTGGCTCACAAGGTCTGGATACTTAAGTCAATCGTCTGTTTGAGAAGATGACACCTCTTCCAAGTCATAATTATTGAACATATCAGCATCTGTCAACAATATCTTCTGTCGTTTTGACAAATTTGAAGGTTTTCCCTTACATTCTTCAAGGTTTTAGGTTTAAGACGCATCAAGCTTCTTGGTTTTTGTTGACTTCATATATCAGTAGCAGTCTACAAGTTGGGTAATGAACTTGACAGCTCAAATAAATCTTGGATATATGAGTGCCATATCAGAAATGTCAACACAGTTTGGATGAACAAAGCATATAGTGAATGTCTTCTTCAGCTTAAAGAAAAAAAACATCGTGCAATCAATTCGATTTGGATTTCAGATATCGTTCAATATTTTTACAAAGGCTTTACAGCACAAACAGCCATAATGAAAGTCAAGCAACTGAGCCTGAGAATGCATATCCATATTTCAAAGTATAATGCACTGTAGGCTCAACATCTGAGCATGCAGTCAAACTTAATAGTGACAACCAGTCGCATTCTACATATGTAGGATTAAAGAAGTAGATTTTTTGACCTATGGCACCCAAAGCACAAAGCACAAAGGTATCAATGAAGTGAGTAAAAACCTTGAATACCATTGATCAAATTTTAGCAGACAAAAGATACAAGGTGATTTCTTCCGACCTGCTTAACCTTGTCAACGGGGTTACTCAGTACTTGTGAGAGGTAGCATATATCCAGTAGAATAGCTGAAAGTGTGTGTTTACGTAATTGAGTTTCTGACATACAACAATCTTGTTGAACTCACAGAACTTTTAACTATTACCCATCTATGTGTGCTGCAAAGATTTAAAAAGTCAACAAATAGAAACTCGGCCATAGAAAGAGGATCTCATTAAGTTAAGAACAAATACATGTTTTTCCACATCATAGAGCCGATTCATGACTACAATTATCCCATCAGTATTCATGATAGCTACTTGTCACAAAAGTTCAGAACACAGAGAGAAAAGGCAGGGCATCATTCCATGGAGCAACAATGGGCAGTCATATTGTAATAACATCAAGAAGAAAAAAATATGCACTAAACCACGAAATACAAACTTGAACAGTACTTACATTTCACGAATGGAATTGAAATAGATGGCTCTCTCATTTAAGATGAGCGAAAAGAATGACGTTAATGCATAAACCTGTCAAAGGAGAAAATAAGAATTTTAAACATTAACGTGGAACTCAACAAAAAGTACAGCACAATGAAATATGCAGCTCAGAGTCAAGCTGTCAAGCTAGTTCAGAAACTATATTTGTTAAGGTCATATAGGAAAAATTGGACTCTCATGTTATTAAAAAGTCAAACACCATAACACCCAGATTATATGTCTGACTTTATGGTCCATCCATAAAGATTCATAACTTTAATATTCATTACCTGTTGGGGTACATTCAGTGCATGTGGCATCTATAGTTTACCTTTAGTTTGTACTATCTGAAACAACAATTATAAAAAAAAAACATACTCTAGGCTACTGGGACTTTATTTAAATAAAGAGTAACCATTATTCCCATTTCAAAAATAAGATAACCACCATTTCGAAAACACTCTTGGTGCTGGAGTTCTATTTATTAGTCGACGGACACTGATGATAGTACAACTGCACATTAAGCACCACATTCAGATTCTGACTCCATTTATGGAACTTAATAGTACCAAGTGTTGATGAATTTGAGATCCTACCATGCACATATTTCCTTCTACAACAACAGCATAACTAGTCTCTCTTTTTTTTTTGGGACAAACAGCATAATTAGTCTGATCTCACAAGTGGGGTCTGCGAAGAATAGGTTGAAGAGCTTACCTCTACCTTTGTGGGGTAGAGAGGCGCTATTTGGGATATACCCCCACAGCTCAAAAGACATTTCCTTCTACAATTTAACAAATACCACAAAGTTTCCACATCTTCAACACTAGTTATTCTGATTCCTTCTACAATTTAACAAATACCACAAAGTTTCCACATCTTCAACACTAGTTATTCGGCTTTACCAAAACCTATGGACGATCAACCTCCAACTGGATGACTACTCTTTTAAGTTTCATCTAATAATAACAAAAGACAGTAAAATATGAATCTGTTCACAAATCAACTTGATCCCTATTTTTGACCAACATAATTTTAAATACAATGAGGTTTATTGGTCAAAACTTTATACCAACACAGAGCCAAATTAGGTAACCACAAGCAGTTTGAATAACTTTTAAGAAAAAGCTTTTTGAAGGAAAAAAAGTGTGCAAAATAACCTTGTTAGAATATTTCTAGTTTCTTGAACATATGTGAGTATTTGTTAGTACAAGAACTTTTCATTGAAATATACATTCAAAACAACAACATACTCAGTTGATCCCACATTCAAACCACTTCAAAAAAAAATTAAGATGTCTTTAAAGCATATACTTCTTCACAAAAACTTTAACCAGCAAGTTTTGAAAATTATTTATTAATTCTATTATATTTTTAGCAAAATTTCAGAATTGTTAAAAAAAAAACACTACTCATCATGATAGCTTAGTCTCAAAGAAGTGTCTGCATATACACTATTCACAGATTAAGCCATCCCTAACCACAAGAACTAGCTCTCCACTAAGATGGGATTTAGGTGCAGTCATACAATTACAGCCTACTATTTCCCTGTTGGTTTAGGTGTCCGCTCAAAGCCCAGCGAAAATACTCATATAATTCTTCATTATTGAAGCCTGTTATAATTGATAGTACAACAATATAACAATCAGGTTCAACAATTGGATAGCATATAACTTCACAAGATAAAAGCTGATTCCTAATCCAGAAAACCTCAATCTCAATACTTAAAACACTTTATGCAAAGCATAGGGATGGCTTTCTGATATCCTATTGGTTCATAACTACATGAGATTCACCAATCACCTGCAGGCTTGTGAGGTGTATCAATAAGTCTAGAGGCAAAGATGAAGACTACATGTGAGGATGGTTAGTATCAAAGCAGGCAGAGGTCCTATGGTTGAATCACACCGCCACCCAAATTAAAAAAAAAATCCACATGCTTGGTATATGAAAAAAGAATCAAGCCGCATGTGAGGGGGGGCGTGTTGAGATGGTCACACACTTCAATAGTTTCCAACGTAGCTGGCTGAATTTCTAATCAGCAAGGTAAAAAGATGGATTTATTACACTCACATACAGTAGAGTCACATTTAGTAGAGTATATGATATTGATTGATAATTGAGATTGTGGAAAAGAGTATTAGGGTAAAGACTGAAAGCTAGCTTGACACAAAAAATATCACATTCAACATTACAATTTGAAATCCTGAAAGTTGTATGAAATGGAAAGGTGTCAAATATCCTGGAAGGTCTGAAAGTGAAAACAGTAAACAAGTTCCACTGTCATGTGAAAAAGAGCGACCATGGATGTCCTAAACACAAGTTTCTCCCATTCCTTACCACTACAAAGAACTTCAATTATAACACTCATACACTGTATCAGCGTCATAGTGGGACCGGATGATTAGAAACACTAAGTAGTTCACCCTTTCGCATTGTAAAGTGTCGAGAGAAAAGAAACACACCACTTTAACCGGTTTAATCAAGAAGATGAATAAAGAGAGAGAAAAACACACTCACAGGAACCATAAAGATGATGCGGACAATGTATCTTTGATAAGTAGGCTCAGTATAATTCAAAAGATGCCTGTAAATGTGCAAAAGTGCCAGTCCAATGGCACCAACTGTGCAAGGCAACGCAATGAGGATATAGAATATGGGAGCCATTTGTTCCACAGGCTACCAAGCATCAAACACAAACACCCTTCTCTGAAACCTTAGAAATATAATCAAAATCAGTACCATTACTAAAATTAATTGAAACATAAACAGATACAATCTAGGTATAACCACTTACAGTACTGAAGAAACAACTCCAAAACCCCTATGTTTAGGCACTTCTCTTCTTCCCCAAATAGCAGTAATCCCTGCTACAATTGAATGCTTCGCTTTTCACCTTTGATTGAATGTACACCAACCTCGGGAAATCGGAAAACCCTAACCCAATAACAAAATCTTGAACTTATCAAGAAAACTACTCGGTTAAAAAATTACACAACCCATTGAATGTATACCAGATTTAAAAATCCCAACTGGGGTTTACCCTACATAACACCAAAAAAAAAAAAAATTAGCGCGTCCGCAGAAAAGGGTAAAGACCCACTAACCTTATCGATGCAATCTGGGTAAAAGAAATCAAAGAACAGTGCCCAATTGGGTCACTTTCTCCCAATGAAATCGTCGGAGAAAGTGAAGTTTGATGAATATGACGGAACTATATAGATCTGTGACTAGAAAAAAAATGTTAGGCGAAAAGAAAGCGCTGTTAGTGAATTGCAGATTGTGGGACAGGGAAACAATAATGGCGGCTTTAGGGGGAAAACTTATATTATATTATATTACTAATGGAAAAACACAGATCGGGAAAACTTGCGAAGAAATGATAAATCTTTTCACAGTCGGAAAGAAAAGGATAAATCTTGTTTGTTTGTTTTTCCTTTGTAACTGCAATTTTTGTTTCGTGGAAAAAGACGAGTAAATATTATTGTTGAGTTGTCTATGATTCGATAATTATATTTAACAAAATAAAATCGATTATTAACCATCACTAATCATCCACATTTTTTGTCTTATCCATTTTTATGTATTTTTCAAGACTTGCTTAATACTATATTTAAATTGCAAGCATAAGAATAGAATATTGGGCAATTAAAATAAAGGAGAAAAACGGCTGTATAGAGTTGGATTGCACTATTTTTATTAAGAAATTTGCATTTCCACATCATAATTATAGTAATAGATCGTCAAACTACCAGAATAATGTTTCCTTTTTAAATCATAATTAGAAATGCTTATTAATTGTATTGCAATTTCAAAAGTAGAAAATAGGATTTAAATGTCATATAAAGATAAATTTGAATCAAGAAAATTTCTTGATTTGTGTAATACTTGTGTAGGGTTATATGATTTATTTTCTTATTATGAAAATCTCATTCATAATGCACTTATCAACAAAGTGATAACATTAAACTTGATGAACTTACAGTCATTGATTCTATTTTCTTCTGGCAATGAAGAATGAGTAAGAATTTAGGGTTTTCTTTAGCTGCTTCAAATGGTAGTATATTAACTATTGATAGTGAAATTGTTCTATTCTTACTCAATGGTTTTGAGTTTCAGTTCTGAGTATAGAGAAAATCTTATTGGAAGTGTCACTCTCAAATGGATACTGCAATGAATTTAATCTAAATTTCAATGCAGACTTCGAACATATAAAACTTATTTTTTTAAAAAAAAAATATATGAATAAGGAGAGGACTTCAAAAAGTCACTGATGGGATTTTCTGACAGTGCTTGATTTTTAATTAAGATAGAATGCAAGTAATAACTATACTAACATGCATTGTAAAACAAGTTGTTAAATACTTAGCTATTAAGAGTTAAAGACTACTATTGTACTCAACGAGGAATATGAACAAAGATGAGTAGAGCTAACCAACTACACATTCTTAACTACTTCTCTAACATTCTTATTTCTGGATCTTGTCTTTGGTCAACAATCACAAATTGTATGTATCTTCTTTGATTCTGACCCTCAGTTTTTTCAATGCGTAGCTTTCAAAATGCATTAGGTGTACTGAGTTTTCTCTAAGTGTAAAATTCAATGAAAAGTCGAATCACGAGAGTCTCATCTTTCAATATAAAAATTCAAACAATACTAGTCACTTAAAAAAAATTTAGACGACATTTAAAATCCATTATGTTCACTTAAAAAAAACACATGTCACTTTTGAGGAAACAAAAGGAATGGAAGACAATGGTTGTAAATTGCTGCTTCTTGGTTGCAGTTCTACGGTCTACATATGTCTGAAGCTAGTCACAACAATGGTCTTATTTACTTTTTGGTTCATGTAAAATCCATTATGTTCAACCTGATGATCCAGAAATTAACTATCAGATCTATAGCTTGAACATGATGTTGAATACAAATTTGAATTTGCTATGCTTGATGGAGTTTAGGTAGAAGATTTTGTTGAATACAAATATTATATAGTAACATTCACCAGTTAGAAAGAAAATTAGAGCTAAATCTAAATCCTGGTCATCACACATTGCCAAAAACTAAAAAATCAAAAATTTCCATAAGCACACAGTTCTCTGCATCTCTTGTGATAAGCTGCTTTCATACGAAAAATACCAAGAACCTTCCTACTTCAACAATCTACACAGCAAATAGCCATTAACCAAAAAAAAAAAATCATCTGTTATTTGTCATAGAAAACCTGCATTATGGTCCTATAAACTAATCCTCTTTTAAAATTTTTAGCTGATCGTCAAAAAGGTGTCAAAATGACATAGTAGACTCCTACTTAGGGTGTTTAAAATGAACAAAACTTATTTGAGGTATCTAAATGTAAATTGGTGTCAAATTTAAGAGGCTACCTATGGATTCGGCCAAATTATAAATAATTGTTGGGTGATTAAAGCTCTATTTCTCGTTTGTTATCAATCATAAATGTTCAAAATTGTTATGAAAAAAAAATTATAGTAAAAATTTATTTTTTTGGGCTATCCAAATAATAACTAAGTTAAACAAATTAAAACGGCAAAATAGTATTTCTTATTATCAAAAAGCTCTAAATATTGTTTGATATACGAAAATTAATATATTTGTTGAATGATCATCTTAAATTCAAGTATATGATATGGTAAATTGCGTCTCAAAATTTGTTTGAACATAATCCTAAAATAATCTTTATCATCTCTGCAGTCATCAGATAGAAAAATATGATTATTTTAGCTTGAACTCTTTTGCCTTGTAAATATAAGCAATAACATTATATTAGTAAAATTTCACATGTGAATTTTAAGAAGGATATTAATACAAATTCATTCTACTCCTATATATATCATGAAAATTATTCATGAAAGACAATTGGCTCAAGTAACTATACTTGAAGAAAATTCAAAAGGAGAAAACAGAGATAATGTAAACATCACAGATATGCATACATTATACATCATATAAAGAAATAAATAATAACCACAACAACATAAAACAATAGTAAAGGCACAATAAACAATAACTTTTTATTTAAGATCATATTCCAAGTAAATTGAAAATAGGTTCAGTTATGACTATTACCTCTCTTTTATTCTTTAACTTAATTCAACCTCCTCAAAGAATTCACCATAGGTAAACTTTCACGCTTTCTCAATAGGGGCATTTGCATAATAGGAATATTAAAACACAAGATTTCAAACTTAAAAGTCTAATCTAGATCCAAATTTGAGTCACTTATTCTCCAACAATTTCTCTGACGAACTTTCACACGTTCGAAAGCACATTGAGTTAAATTGAAGCACAAAGAAATAAACTGAATCCATAATTTATTGAAAATTACAAATACTTTTTTTGTTCGGAATTGTTTGTCATGTTGCGTTTTTCGAAAGTTAATTTGACTAATTTTTCAAGTTAAATTAGATCACATTAATTCGATATTTTAAACAAAAAAATTAGACATTCTAAAACTATATGAAAAGTACTATAAATTGCAATTTTTTGCACATTAATATGATAAAAAAATACATCTTATAATATTAGTTAAAATTTTTATAGTTTGACTATAAAAATAGAAATCATGACAAACAATTCGAATGAAGGGAGTACTGGAAACAAGCTAAAATAGCCCAAGAAAAAATATTGAAGGGTAAAATTAAAGCACATTATTAGAAAACGAAGGATTTTCTTTTTTTAAAGAACATCCAGAAAACTCCATTAATTTTATTTATTTTTAAAGAATGATCAATTTTGATAGATTATTTTCGCGCAAAACACTAACTGGCAATGCAGATTTGCCACGTTTAAAAACCAACAGATGAATTTTGGTATAAATTTTAAACAAAATCCTTTGATTTTTTTTAAAAAATAATCATAGTTTTTAATAATCCTTTTATGAAATTTTTATTATTTATCTATTTTCTTATAGATATTAGGAAACAAAAAGCAGTGTGCTTTTGTAATAATAAAAAAAAAAAAGAAACTCCCGCGTTTTAGATTTTTACTTTTACGCGTAACGGTGCTATAAAAATGGGTGTGAACCCTACCACTCCTCTGTAAAATAGAAAATTCCGTTTCCTCTCTTTCTTCCTCGCAATTTTTGAGGTAAATTTCCATTCCATGTCTAGTAGAGTCCTTCAATTTCCCCAAATTCAATCTCTCCATTAGGATTGATTGTTAGCCATATCCAATTTCATATTTAACATTTCTGAAATATTTCACTATATTCTCAACTTCTGCGCTTATGATTCTTTGTGGGTTTATTGGACTTATTAGCTTCCTCCACTGTTGTTGAACATGCTTTCTTGATTGCTTATGATTCTTTGTGGGTGTTGGAATTATTAGCTTTTATTGTTCTTGAACATGCTTTCTTGATTAACCTCTGTTTATGATTCTTTGTGGGCATTGGGCTTATTAGCTTCTTCCACTGTTCTTGAACATGCTTTCTTGACTGCTTATGATTCTTTGTGGGTGTTGGACTTGTTAGATTTTCTTGTTCTTGAACATGCTTTACTGACAGCTTATGATTCTTTGTGGGTGTTGGACTTATTAGCTTCCATTGTTCTTTAACATGCTTTCTTGATTAACTTCTGCTTATGATTCTTTGTGGGCATTGGACTTATTAGCTTCCATTGTTCTTCAACATGCTTTCTTGATTAACGTTTTGGATCTTTGATATTATTGGTCATGCTATGTTTGATTGTTCATACTATTGTTTTTACTTATGATTTCTCTTTTGGGTATTTACTTAGCTTCCATTGTTCTTGAACATGCTTTCTTGATTAACGTTTGGATCTTTAATATACTATTGGTCATGCTATGTTTGATTGTTCATACTATTGTTTTTACTTATGATTTCTCTTTTGGGTATTTACTTAGCTTCCATTGTTCTTGAACATGCTTTCTTGATTAATGTGCTGGATCTTTAATATACTATCAGTCATGCTATGTTTTGGTTGTTCATACTATTCTTTTTTGCTTATTTCACAAAGTTAGATTGCTGATTGGATTGGTTTTTCACTTTGTTCTATGGAAATTTATGTTGAATCTTGAGTTGGAAGATGTCACAGACAAGCTTAAGTACTTGAAGATTGTCTCTGCTCTTTCAAGTATGGAACAGCTACAACTTTGGTTTTCACCAAATAAGTTGGTGAATCTATGTTGTTTTTTTATTTTTCCCCAAACAAGTTTGTCAACCTATGCCGTGTAGTTGGAAAGTTCATTCAAATAGAATAACTTGGGAAAAAGAGTAGGATATCTAATGTTTCAACGAGTCAGAGAATATGATTTTGTATGTAATCTGCTTCAGTTTTTATCTAAACTATCCTGAGGTCCATCCTTTTCATGACCATTAGATTCATAATTTTCATGTGAAGCATAATTTAATAACTTTAAATCATGGAAGCAAGAGTTGCTATTAACTTAATAACTTTAAATAATAGAAAACGACATTCCTCTCATTTCTTGGAAAAGAACATTTTCTGTCTCTTCTTCAAGGATTAGTACCTATATGCCCAATCCTACTCTATAGATCCTGCATTTACTTTTTGTTCTAAGCTATCCGGTGAACACTCTTCATTTCCTGTCACATTCATGTTTTCATTTGTCATCATCCTTTTTGCCATACAGATTATAGTCTTGGGTCTTTGAGAGAATTGCTATTTCATCTGGCTGAGTTAGAAACCAATAGTTGAGTTGGATTGACGCATAATTGATTGATTAATACAACCTTTGTAGTTGGCTTTGTTGGGTTTGTTGTATTTGATTTAGCTCCACTTAAACTGTTGAGTATGCCCTGAACTTCCATTTTTGTTTCTAAATCAGTTTCATCTTTGAGGCCACCAATTAGCATTTGCCATGATATTTTGCAACAATCACAGGGCTTGGTATGTCCATGTGAAATTGAAGGTTTTATAGTTCAATTGGAGAAAAAAATCAAACCAATCCTTAATGATTATAATATATAGATCAACATTGAGAAGACAATTATATTTAAGAATTCATGTTTTAAATGGAGAATATAAAAAGGGCAGCCCGAATAGGCGTGGGATCCAGGGAACGGCCGTACCGCAATAGATTGAAGAATAATACTTTTTCAGCCATTCAATCGAGTTCCTTGGGATATCCGCATGTAATATCAATTTTGTGTACTTTAGATTCATATTATGTATAGATATTATATGTATTGATGCTGCTAGAAGTTTCACTTCTTAGATGGAAATGTTTTAATCAGAGAAGTGTTTTTCCATCTTATTCCAATTTCCTTCGACATTTTAAGTGTTCTTTTCATTTCATTTACCTTTGGAGTGTTTTCAATAGTTTAAGTCTTACAAGAACCTATTTCTTTGTAATATTCAGATATTAGGAAAGGATCATTTTGTAGGTTCAATTAGGTCTTCAACGATTTCCTAGTTTAATTACATCGTAAATGTTGGACATGTTTTTATAAACAGCTCTTAAAAGCTCCTGGTGTGCATAACCCGTCACCAAAGCAGACAGAATTTCTCCATTGCCGGCACAGAGAAAATTGGAGAGATGGCTCTTTCAAGAGCTCTCAATTTCTGCAGGAGCTTTTCTACAGTTTCTTCCGAACCATTACGTGTTTGCATCGTGGGGAGCGGGCCTGCTGGGTTCTATACTGCCGATAAGGTACAACTATCTCTGCTTTGAGCTTTATACTATTTCTGATTTTTCTGATTGTTGTAATAAGTTGTTTTAACTATTGCCAGATTTTGAAAGCTCACGAGGGAGCTGAAGTTGATATAGTTGATCGGTTACCTACGCCATTTGGATTAGTCAGGTCTGGAGTGGCTCCTGATCATCCTGAAACAAAGGTCGTATACTTAATTAGTCTCCTTCATTGTATCTCTTTTTTTTTTCAGAATGGTAATGCCAATAGGGAAAGGCAGCTGGTGGGAAGTGCAGGGCGAAATCTTAAGAGGGGAGGGTAGTTTAATTCTTACATGGGACATAGTCGGGATGGCAGAAGTACTTTTTAAAAGTTAATAGCTGGGTGGGTAGGGGCAGGCAAAGAGCAAATTACTGTATAAGTTCACCCTGAGCTCTTGAGGCACTCACCCTGTTTTTGTTGTACTCCAATAACTGGCTATACGTTCCACAGTTAGCGTATAGCTAAAGAACTGTGCAATTATAGAAGCAGAAGCAGCCCACCCACCCCCCACCCACCCACCCCCGATAGACCTTTTCACTTGATGAGAACTTTCTGGGTAATAAATTTAGTAATAACTGCTTGAAAATTTGATCTTTTCTTTCTAAATGACAAGTTTATATCTTGTTATATTATTTGTGTAGGTGCTAATGGTACTCTTCCTCTATTTTATTTTATATGACATATTAGTACTTGGAGAAGGGAACAAATCTTTTTATAATTTTTTTTATTTTACTTTTTATATAATCCTATCCAAGCAAGTCAATTTCGTCTCCAAAAGATTGAGAATCCCATAGCTCAATTCAGATAAAAGATCTGACTTTGATCCTTATATTATAAACATCGTCATTCTTTTCTGGAGACAAGGAGTAGTATATAATGAACTACCCATCTTGTGTTTCACTATATGAGTAAAGCAAAGTATTCTTGAGTTATTAACAGAATGCTTCAATTTGAGACAAAGAAAAGCAATTAACAAGTAAGCAAACAAAATCTTGCTGAACAAACCGGAGTTGTAAAATAACCTTTTGGAGTAGTTTTCTTTTTAGAACTTGCTGAAATACTGCTCTTATTAACTCTTAGTTTACCAGAATACTTGCAACAGGTTGTGACGAACCAGTTTTCTCGGGTTGCTCAAAATAGACGTTGCTCGTTCATTGGGAATGTTTCTCTTGGAGCATCTATATCTTTGGCTGAGCTGCGTGAATTATATGATGCGGTGAGAGTGAAGACTCTACACAATGATGAGGATGCATTTGATCCTCCTACATTTTTTACTTTCATAGTGCAGTATGTATTATCCACCAGATTCTAACTTATTATATCATTTTGCAGGTGGTGCTTTCTTATGGAGCTGAAAGTGATCAAGCTCTAGGAATACCCAGAGAAGTATGTTACTCGTGGGGTGGCTTTGTTGAGTTTCCTTCCTTTATAGTTAGTGTCTTGGGGAACAAATAGTACTGATGGGCGATGGCTCCATAACTATCAAAGAAATAAAATAAGTACTGATGGTATCATTTGATTAAATCTTCTTCTACCACTATGCTTCTTTTATTTCTTAAAGAAACATAGTTTCTGTTTATCCATCTAACGCTGCATGTCTTGTAGGATCTGTCTGGCATATACGCTGCCAGAGAATTTGTTTGGTGGTATAATGGCCATCCAGACTGCCGAAATCTGGCACCAGATTTGAAGAGCTCCGATACTGCTGTTATTATTGGTCAGGTATGTCTATATAGTGTCCATAATACTATTCCATGTGCAAGCAGAGTTCCGATTGTGGTAAAATTGTACTTTTAGTCTGTAGACGTGTGTATTCAACTTTATAAAAGAAGCCACTATTTGCTTAAATTTAAAAAGCAAATTGTGTGCATCCATAGGTATGGCCTAGTTGCCAATGAAGTGGAAGGAGAGCCATTAAGTCTCATGATCAAATTCCAGACAAAACACGCTAGGTGATTTTGTCCATCTTCCAGTGCATTGTTAGACAGTTATCTATACCTATGCTAGTGGACCGATGGAATACTCGAGCTGACAGTACATGATAGAATAGTCGAGGGTACACAAGCTGGCTTTGACACTGCTGTCATTTAAAAAAATCTATTTGGTTAACTTTAAATTGCATAGTGAGTCCTCTTCTTGGATTAACAATTTTTAGTTAAGATTTAACTAAATCAATGGAACAAGTCCCTATGCCTTTTTTTGGGTTGATAATAAGCCTGACAAATCTTTTCCTCTATCTCTGTCTGTCTTCATGATGCTGTATAATTTAATCACAACCAGAGCTTACCATGTAGACATCTGTTAATGTTTATACTGGGCTAGGGGCTGACTTCTGGTGCTTAATTGATAGTTGATACCTACAGTATGTTTCTCCACATTGGATGCTTCACTGCATTAATATGCCAACCAACTCATTGGTTTATAGTCTGAGTGTCTATGGGGGAAATTGGTAAATGCATTAGTGTCTTATTAGAGAAGGTATCTTTTCATGAAATGTTTGCATTACTTTGAAACAAAATCTTCTCTAGGAAGTCACCCTAGAACTTATCTGTTTAGAACTCTGTCAAAGAGTAGGCACAGTGGAATGTAGTTCCTTGCTAAGCGTTTATCACTTTTGTTAAGGGAAATGTAGCTCTTGATGTGGCGCGGATCCTTTTACGACCAACTAGTGAATTGGCAACAACTGATATCTCCTGCCATGCTTTGGCAGCTTTAAGCGAGAGCTCCATTAGGTTTGCTTTTTGCCTTCTGTTTTTTTTGGGTCTTTTTCAACTTAAATGTCATCACATGTTGTAGTTAAATATGTACCAAAAAATCATTTTGTATTTAAATGATGACGCTTATGCTTGAATATTTTCAGAAAAGTGTATTTGGTTGGAAGACGTGGAGCAGCACAAGCAGCCTTCACGGCAAAAGAACTGCGTGAAGTTCTACGTGAGTTCGTGGATATTTTGTCTGTCTAAGATTGCTGGTTCCAGCTCCTCCACTTCCATTCAACATGTTATTTAACTTTACAATTGCAAGATAATTAAATCCAGATATTATTTGCGCCAGTAATTGGGTTGTTAATGAAATTTATGTTGCTTCAGGTATCAAGGACCTATCCGTTGGAATTCGGCAAGCGGATTTAAGTAAAACCCCAGTAGATGAGGTATGCCTGCTATCTATATAACTGGTTAAGGCTCCTAAGAAACTGATGTACCCTTAAACTTTACTCTTTTGTGGCATAATTGTTTCCACTGCTTTTCTTTAGATAAACCCTTCGATCTTTTTGAAAGATTAAACTTGTTTCTCCTTTTAGCTTCAACTACCATATAAAAGAAGAAAGAAAAGAGATGGAGATACAACCATATGATTAAAGAGAAAAAGACCTAATGGTTCTTAAACTATAAAATTAAGTTTGAATTTGATCTCAAGTGTTTCTGTCTGACTTGTCTTTTCAAATGAAGAAAGTAAAAGATATGTAAAATAAAGTGCAAGAATGAGGATAATGTGCCATGCTGGATCCTTTTGAGAAAAGTGAAACCTATCTTGTTGAAAAGCTGATTGGATGTGGTAGAGACTTGGGGTCCTAGATGGTGTGAGGAGTTGTCTTCTTACTTCCTCCATTTTAATTTGTTTGTCTTTTTCTCCTTTTGTTTTATCGTAAAAAGAATGTCTCTTTCCTGATTTGACAGCTCATTTATTCCCACATCCAACATGACATATTTAAGGCCACAAGATTAAAGGACATTTTGGTACCTTTTACATTTCTTTAGTTTTTGATCACATGATCAAAAAGTCTTCTGACTCTCTTAAACTCTACTCCCGTTGGACCAAGACAAACAAATTTGAACAGAAGTTAGTTTCCTCATGATTTCATTTGAATGTTTGGATTCTTCAAAACAGAGTTATTGCACATCCCTAGAAATTAACTGAAAAAGCAGTTGTCAAACAATTGTTCTGATTGTAGGCAAAGGTGGATGACATGTGATTTTCATTATATTTCATCATGTTAGTTGGTTGTTATGTGTTTCTCATTGAATATTGTATCCTGTATGCTAAAATTGTTATTATATTTAGCATAAAGAACAGTTGCTACTCTTCAAAAGCTTGAAGGACTATAATGCCTTGGAAGAAGAAAAAAGTTGCAAGATCAAAATGCTTAACTTTCTAAGGTGGACTTTGCTTTAAAAATTTGAAAACAGTTTTTGCAAAATCTGTGTTCCTACGAAAAGCTATTCTTCAATTTTTTGAACCTAACACCACTTAAACTAAAGAGGGATTGATGCACTTTGCTCCACGAATTTCAAGTTGCTTCTATGCACTATTGTTATGTATAACTTTGGTATCCTCAAGTTGAGTATTCTGGTCTTTTGTTTTGTATGCAAAGGAAGAACTAAAGAATAACCGGATTAAAAGGAGAATTCATGAACTGCTCTCTAAGGCAGCCACTCCTGCAACTTCCGAATGCAATCCAGGTCAAAAAGAACTGCACTTTGTTTTCTTCAGGAAACCAGACAGGTTCCTGGAATCAGATTGTAGAAGTGGTCATGTTGGTGGTTTGCGGATGGAGAGGACAATTCTTAAAGGTTAACTGTGAGAGAACTGTATGCTTATAAAATGCCTTACACTTCTTTTGTTTTTTTGGGTATATGTTCTTCAATAGAATTTTCTGCTTTTACCCTTTTTCTATTTAATCATTTTAGCATGGAGTTGACATTGTCTGGCGAGGACGTTTAATGTTGTTAAAATTTTATTGATATGATGGGGAAATCACGCAACAAAACACGTATACAAAAGGATTGTTTGATGAGGATTTATCTTTTGTTAGGTGTGCATGTATGATGTATGTGTTTGTGCAATTCATGTATTTGACTGAGTGTATGCTTGTGTGCACATTTTTTATTGTAGTGTTTCTATATTATTCTGTTGAGATAGAATGTCCAATAAGTGTATAGCAACACGTGGATAAGAGCATATAATGTGATTAAAATACTTTTGCGCCTTATTACATTAACATGATGAATTAAATAATTTTGCTAATAATGGAAAATCTTTCATATACATCTGCCAAGCGGTTTACCAAAAAGTGGCAACTTTACTATGTATTATGATCCTCCACGGACGTTTCCTGATCATCTGTACATATCCACTTCATGGAAGAGTAAAATGAAACTAGAAATAAGTGTCTATTCCTCAAATGTACATAAGAATTATCTATCCCACCAGAAGCTCTCCTATTTTCTTCCTTCCACAGGACCCACATGATCTCTAGGGGGAATCATCTTAGGTTCACCGATTTCTCTTCCTATTTCTAAGTTTTCAGTTGGAAAATGCCTCCGTCACTGATCACAATAGATGTGTGAGAGACGCCAAGGTAATTAATATTACCTATTTCTATCCATTTCAGATTAAACATGTGCTTATACAATGTGAATTCAGTTTTTTATGTAACTAACCAAATGTCTGATAAGACATGTGTATGTACTAATTAATCCAAAGGCCTTTGCCGTTATTGCCATTTCTGTACAATAACGGGTGACTGAGTGGTTGAGGCATAAGAACGAGTAAATACTTGGAGATTCCAGGTCTATTTCCTAGTTAGAACATTCATTATTAGCCACATCCTTCAGCTTTGATGAGCAGGTTACATCTTTGTGGGTTGTCGCAGGCTGCCTGATGGATTGGTCGAAGGTCTGTGCAAGTTTGTAGTTGTTACATACACTAAAATCTACAATATTTGTGTGAAAACCAAATAACCCTGCAATATTTTGTGTCTGCGTGTTTGTTTGTTTAGTTTGCCCCAAAAGATGTGAAAGACTTCACAGTGTCTGCATTATGTCAGAGTTATATTTTATAAATGTGCATGTTGAAGATCCTGTTCATGAGAGAACTTCTTCTAACTCCGAACTTTTTCTTCCTCCAGAAGATGTTGGATCTGGGAAACAAATTGCTGTTGGTACTGGACTTTTTGAAGAAATGGAATGCGGGTACACTGCTTTAGTTTTCTTTTTTTCCTGCATTTAAAATCTTTTCTTCCTTCTACCAAGTGTCATATAAGATGTAAGAAACTGCTACAGTTCTAGATTTTATTTCATATTGCAGTGGTGTAGGAAAACCCTTTTTAATTTCTTCTTTATTTGCAGCTAAACTTGTCTCTGTACTGAATGTTGATGCGTTTTACTGCTCTTGTTTGTAGGCTGGTATTGAAGAGTGTTGGTTACAAGTCGATACCTGTTGCTGGCTTGCCTTTTGATCACCGTAAAGGTATGTGATGAAAGCTATAAATCATGACAAACATGTTGGTTGTTCTTAAAGCTCCTCGCTTAAATAGATCTCTCTATAATTTCAAGTTGTCAATTCATCATTTGTTTTTTCTATTAGTTATTTACAAATACTTCCATTCACATTTGTGGTTTTGATTCCATTTTTTATCCCATCCTGTTGAAAGGTGTTTTCGTCTTTCACATTAATTGCATGTAAGCTTTGATTGCGGCGTGGTCCCTCACTCTTGCAAATTTAGATGATCAGGACCTGCTATTCCAGGTATTGTTCCAAATGTTCAGGGACGTGTTTTAAGTGAAGCTTCTGAAGATGCACTAGTCGAGAAAGGCTTGTATGTATGTGGGTGGTTGAAGAGAGGACCAACTGGGATAATTGCTACAAATCTTTACTGTGCTGAAGAAACTGTAAGTGCATTCAATCACAACCTGATGCTTTACTATCTATCCCCCTTCATCATGACCAAAGAATTTGCATTCTAGAATTTTATTTAGTTTGCTTTGCTAATCATTAGACATAGCAGGTCGCTAGCATATCAGAAGATGTTGAGAGAGGAGTGGTAACATCAAGATCTGGCCTATCTAAGTCCGGAAGGGAGGGCCTCCTCCAATTGCTAGATAGCAGGAATGTCAAAATTGTTCCATTTGGTGGCTGGGAAAAGATAGAGAGTGAAGAGAAAAGAAGAGGTAGTCTGAAAAACAAACCCAGGGAAAAGCTTACCTCTTGGGAGGATTTATTAGAAGTTGCCACCAAGTGATAAAAGTGTCTCCAAGATGGCAGATTTTGCTTACATCTGTGGTTTTATGGTAAAGCCCGAACTCTATAACTCTTTCAGATGTGTGCATTGCTTTTAGCCCTCGGCATTTAAGAGAATTTGCTGTGCATTCTTTCTTAGAAAAGATGATAAATAATCGGTTAGCTCTGTTTTGAGCTCTTCACGTCCTGGAACCTTTTTCTGACATGGTTGAGGCAGGGACTAGTGTTGTGCTTTGTAATACAGCCACCATCACTAAAGGCTCAGCTTATGCATTGATTCCTCCAATTTTTGGTAGTTAGTTGAATTAGATGAAGTGCAGTGCACACTAAAGCAATTTATGGGCAATCGCCACACTGAGAAATCAAAGTACTTTAGTTATATAATCATCTTTTGGGCTGACTGTTCAACATGAAAAGGCAACCATGATATAGGTGTCTTTATTTCTTTAGTATCTAGTATTTCTTCTCAACTATTTTGAGAACATATGACCCAAAAAAAGTAAAAACAAAACTTTTTGAGAACGTGCTTATTCGAATTATAAGCCTACGAAATAGATGGTTCATGTGGAGAAGGGTAAAAGTATCGACAAGACATGTATATAAATTTTAGAGGTCACACTTCTCCAAAAGCATACTTCAGTGAGGAAGTATGGATCTTTTGACCATTTACAAAAATGAATACAAAAAGATAGCCTTTTTTAGATCTCATGTGTAAAAATGGAGACAAGTAAAAACAATAATTTTAGTTGCTTTTGGATAATTAATTTTTCCTACTTGGCATTAACTACGAAAGCTAATTTTCTACCATATAGCAACCCATTATTCTAAACTCCTTTATACAATGATGTCCTCACTTGAAATGAGAGAGGTGAGGTTCATGGTTGTACCGTTTTGGCTATTCTTTGTTCTAATATACGTTCAAACATTACTCACCAATTTCAATTTGAAATTACAAATTTTTCGTATTGGGTAGGGCGACGGTGATGATCACCATCATTTCTATAAGCAATCAGTCCAATGAAATGATTGTTGTTGGTTAGAAATAGGAAAAAGAGTGAAGGGATAGCATGTGGGGTGGTGGCGCAGTTGGCTAGCGCGTAGGTCTCATAGCTTCTGAGTGATCCTGAGTTCGAGCATAATATTTTTTTTTGTGAAAGCTTTTTCAGGAAATTTCCATGTATTCAACTGTAGCCCATCACTTTTTTTCTTGTAAAAACTTTTTCATGAAATTTCCATTTTCCCGTATATTCAACTTAGGACATGCATATGTAGCCAAAGTATCCATACAACTCTACCTACTTGGAGTTGTTGTGTTGAGTTACAACACCAATGCTTCTCTATGTAAAAATAAATAAATAGTACTTTCTTTTCTCCCTCTCTTGCTACACTATCGTATTAGTCATTCTACCTCTCTCCACATAATAGACTTTAGAAATTCCAGGTGTTTTTGCCTGCTAAAAAAATTGGATTGGACAAGAAGCAAATATAATTGCTGGGTGATTATTGACGTTTTTTTTCCCTTCTCAGTCCCTCTAGTTGGAAATGGTTGATGATTGGTTATGGGTTATCTATCTCTGAAGGGTCGGTCCCATAATATCATGATAAGAAATGGATCCCTTCTTCCACTATGTTTAGCTGGACTTTTCTCCATGAGGTTTTTTCTTGGAAGACGTGGTATACTTGGGAACACTAGTATTAATGGGATAGTATTTTATTATATTGACAGAGAAAAAAATATGCACTTCCATTTGCTACCAAGGAAGAGCTCTTTATTCTTTATTACCCACCTCATCTAATTTTTATTTTCCCTTCACAGACCATCAGCACAGATGTCATTACCCTATTTCCAATGGTGGAGCTCCCAAATCAACATTACAGAGATCTCTCTCTTTAATTAATAACTGAATAGAAAGAAACGTTACATCACAGATAGGATAGAAGCAGGTACATCATTCCTACCGACTAACTGACGTATACAAACATGAACTGATCTGGCTTCATCATCTACCCAGTTCTGTACTGTACACAATACAGAAATATCAACATCGAGTACATCCAAAACTCAGGTCACTATTATTAAGTGAGCACACTTAACAGCCTTGAAATTGAAATCTGATCTGCACAGGCACTAAGCAAAAACCCTTTTCATCTAGCACCAGCACCAACTGTTAAAACTACAAACATTAACTAGCTCATCCAACTTTTATTAGAGGAGCAAAACTGCAGCGTAAAGCCATGTTTTTCCCGCAAGACCTAACCTATATGTAACTCTTCTTAAAACCCCATGTGTGCATGTTGGCTGAGCAAATTAACAAATTTTGTTAGCCAGTTTTGTGAGTGCCAGTACTTGTTGATTCATTGGGGTATGAACTTGGTTGATGTTTACTTGCTTGTGGCAGGTACTTATAAGAAAGTACTGAAACGCCAATGGCAGCAGAGAGCCCTATACAACTCCATAGCCACTTCTTCTGGATTTTTTTCCTCTGGCGCTGCTTCCGTGCAACCTCTGCAGAATGTTTGAAATGAAAATGGTCACTCGGATAAAGAAAGAACATCACTTATAGTCCAAACATAAGCATATGATCCTGACAAGGGGTCTTTAAGCCAACAATAAATTACTTACAATAAAAAGGAAGGAGCTACCGGGAGATATTTGAAACAAGTAGGTTATTATTAAAGCTACACTAAATGAAATGGCGGTTTTCCAACTAACTAAAGCTAATCCTGACAAGGGGTCTTCAAGCCAACAATAAATTAAAAGTTTATGTTTTTCCCAAGCTACAACTCTCAACTGATACTAATCCTGACCAAAGGGCTTTAAACTGAGAACTGGCAACCAACAAGGTTAGATCATTCAAAAAAGTTAGATAAAATTATTCCACTACATTAATGCTGCAAATCACCATGTCACTATCTGTACACATTGAGTAAGACGTCAGCAAAAGCAATAACCCACTCCATTCAACTTCAATCGGAGCAGAGTATGACATGTAGGCGCCAAACGTTACAGTATCTTTCTCATATCAGAAGCTGCAGAACCTTAATTGAATGATGGATCTAATGGAACAGATATGCGGCGTCTCAATAAATGAAGGTTGTGCTAGCTCAGAAGTATTCTACAACCACAAGTTATTATATAGCATAGTCTATGAACTAGGGGAAATTGGATATGCATTTCGCCTAAGTAAAGGTGCCTGACTGATTGAAAAAGATGCCAGCCAAGTGTTTTATGTGAATGCAAGGCACACACTCGTCCTAGATGTACTTCTTTAGAATGGGATATAAGATTCTCTCAGTCACAGGAAATTAAAGCTGAAACAAGCCACAACACTACTAGCCATTACGACGAAACCTGTCAATGCCTTGATGGTAAGGAACATTTATCAGACATGTTATAAGTAGGAACAGAGTAGAGCAAGAGAAGCAACACCTACCAATGATTTCCTGATTTCTCTGGGACATCTCGTGATTTACAGCCTCGTAGTATCGGAGCCTGTCTCTCAACCTTGAAATTTCCTGGTTTTTTGACTCAAGAACTGATTCTGCAGCTAGTTCAGCTTCTGCACGAGCTTGACCTTTTCCAATTGCTTCAGCAACAAATCTTGAGACAACTACTTCCTGATAGAGCTGCTCAATTGAAGCATTATCAAGCTGCATATCACCAATGACATCTGAAGGAGAAGGAAGTGTTAGCCCTGCCTGAGATAGAACAGTACTGATGTTCTGCCACTGGCATCGCATCATATTAAGAGCATCTTCTGCTGTTTTTCTTCTTTCGATTTCCTCAAGGAATTTGAGCTTTGTGGTGCGCAGTTCCCATTCAATATTAGGTCCACATGTAGATCCATTCAGAGACGACCCTTCCACGGAGAAATCTGAGGTACCATCATAAAGAAAAGTACACTCATCAGAGACTGTAGGATTACCTAGGAAACATGACTTTTTGTCTGACAGCTATCATAATAGAGCAATTACATTCATAATAGTATTGCAGGAATTATCTAGGCGACATGAAAGAATTTGTTTGACAGCTGCCAAAATAGAGCATCCTGCTCATCACCTTAACTTGGAAAACATAAACATTACTAAACTGAGCCACAATCATAAGAATCTCTAGGATACAACTTCTCATTTTTTAACACGTGCTGGACAATAACGCACGATATTTTCTGCAATTCTTCTGCGATACGACAACAATTAAATTAAATTAAAGTTTAATTCCAAAGTAGTTGAAAGTATTACGTATTACATCCACCACTATTTCATTCCAGTTTTGACTTCTTATTTGATCAAGTATTCCAATCCTAATCTGATATTAAAGTCACATTAGGGGTTCTGTAGAAAGAACGTCTCTTGACTTCTAATATGATGAACTATACTAATTGGTTTTAAGTCACATTAGGGGTTCTGTAGAAAGAACACCTAAGGCGGCATCAGGATTATCCTTACACTGAAAGTCTCTAATATACAAATGATTCCTGACATAAATTGAACCTCATCTAAGTGTAACAACAAGAACTAAAGCTTGAGAACAACTAGTTGATTTCACCAACATCTATTTTTTACTTCCTTCTTCTTTTGCTCTTAGTATAACATTGAAAGACTAAGCGTCTGGAGAAAAATTCCCTACATCATAACCTTTCACCACTTCCAGCATATTGCCTCACTCATGGATATGCATATCTACACAAGACATGTTCAAACCATCTACTAACCTTATTTTATTTTATCCTCTATGTATGCCAGATGCACCTAGGCAACACGTTCTCACTTCTGTAAATCTTAGATATGTTTCTTTAATATAGATGAGATAGCTGTAATGTAGGCTTAAGGGAAGATGGAGTAGGCGGTTGAATTGCTATTCTAGTCCACTCAGATTTAGGTGGAAATATACAGTTCAAACCATTTTTCTCCATAATACCTGTTTACAAACCAGTGAAAATTTACTCGGAGGGCCTAGGCAGATATAGAACAAGCTTAACCTCAAGAATAGTGCTGTCAATAAGATAAAAAATATCCAATGGTCTTAACAAAAAATCAAACACATACTATTAGTTAATTAGTGATTTCGGCAGATCAACATAGCCTATTCTCATAGATTTGCTTAATAAAACGGTAGAAACAAATATTAAATTGCAAAGCAGAAGCCAATTTATACCTTCGTCTGCATCAAAGAACTCCCCTTGAGCAGACACATAGCTCCGGCAATCAATCCCTTTCACCTCATTAACACTACCAACACTTAACGCATCACATCTCGGATCCAAAAATCCCTCATCTTCCTCAAACAAATTTTCCTCAGGTAGCTCCTCTTCCAAATTCAAATTCAAATCCAAATCCAAATCAGTCTGTCCGTTAACTTGCTCAGCTTCCTCCAATCCATCAAGTTTCCGGTTCGCAAATGCTTCTCCACCGC